TATATTATCCAATTTATATTATAGTATATATATATAATACATAATATAAACTTATGAATCTTTTGGTCTATGACGGTCAGGTCACTGGCATCGAGACATGCCTGGAAAACTGGTCTTGAACAACCATTTCGTAGTTACCTGTAACTTGAAAAATGGGGAGTCCTATTCACATTCTATCAACTCCTCAGCAGCGCCCTAGTCAACGCGGACAGTCCGCTATGAGCATTTGATAGACCAACCGGTGATATCGCCGAAACACACACTTATATGTCCTTCTTACCTTAGTGTCCATGTCCGTAATTTCAATAGATCCTTGCGATGGAATCCGATGTCATCAGTATGCTAGGTGTGAATATGGACAATGTCGTTGCATGGATGGATATGAGGGCGACGGACACTATGAATGTCGGCTGTTATCCCGAGGTGGGTGATAGCTAGTGCTGCCAAGCATGAGCAGGGCAGAGCATGCACAGCATGAATGCAGCCTAGTGTACCAGATGCTTTGGAGAGTTCCTTGATGTTGCAATTTCACTTCACAGATCCTTGTGAGGGTGTCCGGTGTCACAGCAATGCGCGATGTGTGAATGGTCAGTGTCAGTGCGAGGCAGGTTTCGAGGGTGACGGCTACTACTTCTGTAACAGCACTTCACCTGGTAAGACTGAACAGTTTATTTGTACATTTAACCAACGATAATGGCTTCATGGTTTCATGCACTTTTGTAAGCTATGAGTATTTCTCCTTTTGGTGTTCTGAAAGTCTGTTAATCAGAGTGTGTTGAAGGGAAATGCGTTCCTGATGGTTTCAGTAATCCTGGCTTACGAACATCGTTTTTATTCACCATTCTCCCCTGCGAAATTTCGGCCTCACTGTAAAGACCAAGGCGAAAACTTTAGTAAACATCAGTACATTTACCGAGAACCTATGATATGCTAATATCATGGTTGCAGCATTCTTTTACGACAGGTGCGAAACAGTTCACTACTGAGAAACGTGGTTTGGATTTAAGCCACAAAAGGTTAAACCCATACTCCCGATTCGATTCTTCTGTAATCCAAGAACTAACATCTTCTTCTAACAGTGTCTACTCTCCTTGTCGAAGTGACGAGTTGGTTATTAGTTATTAGTTAGTTAGTTATTAGTTTACTCACCGTTCCGTTAGATTTTCTGACCGCTGACATGTTCCTTCCCGTTCCACCACTCAAGGATGTAGACTTCATTTGGCTTCTTCTTTTTAAGTACAACAATCTGAAGGAACAGCCCTTAATATAACCAGAGTCTCAACCTTGTTTAACTGCGTTCCAAGCTATGAGCCAAACTGAAAAACCAACCATTTCCGGCGTGTAGATTCTTATGGGATAGTTATTACGGCGACGTTCGCCATTGAACGACATGACCATCAGACTGTTTCACAGCTCCTTAGTCTGCAACAAGGGTAGGAGACATAAGTGGTCTTCTTGCAAATCAGCCTGTCGAGACATAATCCCGATGGCTACTGTAGTCAGGCACCAAAATAGAAGCTTAAACTGGTCAGAATGTGTTTTGTAGAATATCAATAACTATGTTCTTGCGCGTAAAATGTGTCATCTGTCATCAATCGAATGTTTCTACCAGCATAAGTTAAGGACCATAGATGTTGATCAGTCATTTAGGCCAGAACCCTTCGTAAGAACGCCTTGATCGAATAAACTTTAAATGTCACCTGCACTTGTCTTATTTCCGAAAAATATCCATCAGATTTGTGCAGGGATGTACGATGTCATTATTACGCTGAGTGTTATATGGGCCAGTGTCGGTGTATTGAAGGATACGAAGGTGACGGCCACTGGGAATGTCAACCAAAACGCAGTGGTAAGCAGGATGGTGAAATCAAGAAACCATGGTATTGGCGCGGAACGTTTTTTCCCTTATCATCTTATACTCTGTGCTTAGCGACTCATACTTATTATCGTCCCACTATATGTACGATTTCCTGCATGCTGTCGGAGCCTTCAGTTGTCTCTTCTTGCGCTATATCTCTCTTGATGCTTTCCTCTTTTGCGGCCTCGCTCGTAACCTCAATTTACATGACTGTCCTGTGGCCTCATTCATGCAAACTCCGTCATCTATATTCAAAACAATCACGTATTTCCATTCATCCTTTCAGCCTACTTGGGTTTGCTAGAACTTATATCGAAATCATCCTGCTTGAGGATAACCGTTCTCCCCGAAAATTCTCCAGAAGTTTCAATTCATTTACAAAACGAGGGAACTATTCATAGACGACCATCCGGTTATTAGTGTACTTTGACTTAGTATAATTCAATTTCTCTCAACAAAGTGTAGTGCTTCTAACTGCTACAGCTCCATTCATCTAGGAGACGAACCACAATTTGAGGACGATGGTTCAAGCTGTGCACTGGCGACATCTGGATTTGTTTCCCTCGTGTATCAGGCAGTAAAAGTCACGCAAATTAGAAAATAGCTTTGTTGAATAAGCGACATTCGCTCCATGACATAGCCATATCTGTCAAGGTAATTAACCACCGGGTTGTCTCGTCCCATTGTCCATATTCAGGGAGATGGCAGTTTACAACACAAGTGATTTGGTTAGTTAAAGCTTCCGTTGCTAAGTCACAGACTGACCTCCGCCCGGGCGCCTCCCTCCGATGCAATGGCGAAGGGGTTCTACGAGATGAACATTCCTCTGACGTATGAATTACATAATTAACCAGTATAATCTGCTGAGTGGGACCAGTTATTCCATTGGTGTAGAGTAGACTACCGCAGCAACTATCCACGTACTCCATCACTACTGACCTCATGTTCTAAACCGGACCTGTTCAAAGCTTCAGAGACACCTGTGGTCTTCTGCAAGCGACAGCTACGTCTCTAAACATGAATGGCGCCACTCTATCTCTGATATTCAAGCCGATGTCCTGTAGGCGCATCAAATGTCGGAGGTTGTCAAACGCTGCCTTGGTCTTCTCAGTTATGGTAGTGATTTCAGCAGTCGCCCGGGACTAGTTTTGCAACGGGATCTTTAAGATATCCACGATTCACAGTAAACTTTTATCCATGGTCACATTTCAGTAAAGCCGCATGCCTTGAGCTAAAGGAAAATACTTACCACGCTGTTCACAACAGCCTTTACTCCTCCTGTCCGATTATGTAACATTCACACCTTCGCCGACCCGCTGCTCTTCTGGAAATCGCATGAATTGAGGTTATGGCTGACTAAAATCCGATGGAGCTGCAAAGCTGCCTTGTTAAAACAGTTGTTTGGGCGAAACCAATCGTCATAGGTTTGAAACCTCTTCAAATAGAACTCGAATGTGTATGATGCTCACTGTCAGGCAACGAACAGATATCCAATGGAAGTACGTGTATTTGTGTTGATGGTGTTGAGGTGCGTGAAAGGCACGATTATGAGGGCGATCGTTTATCACACTGGAGAACGAAATGTCACCTCACCGCTGCGACCAGCCACATACACGTATATCTCTTTGATCTCACTCTATGGACTGTCGCACTGCATGCATGGTAGAGCTTGCATAGCCGATGATATACCGTATGCGATTAAACTGTTACGTCATTCCGCAGATCCTTGTGAAGGTGTTCAGTGCCACCAGTACGCTAGGTGCGAACATGGCCGCTGTCGCTGTATGGATGGATACGAAGGCGATGGGCAATATGATTGCCGACCAATGTCCCGAGGTAGGCTAGGCGCTTGATGGCATGCCGTTGAATGTGGGATTGCATGAATACCACATGGAGTGACCTATACCTGTCTGGTTGACCTATGCACATGTTGTGTTGTCGCCCTTGTCTTCACGTCAATCCACAGACCCCTGCGAGGGAATTCGTTGCCACATGAATGCACGGTGTATAAACGGACGCTGCCAGTGTGATCAGGGATTCGAGGGTGATGGGTATTATTCATGCAATCAAACTGTGCTCGGTGAGCGGTGCTTATAATCATTACCATTTGTATACGTGTCTTAAATGTCTGGGACCTCACCTATCCTAACGCTCAGGCTTACCTTGTCCTTCGTTATTCAATTTTACTGAATTCGTCAAGACAACTTATTAGTGCTGTTTGGCCGACTTTCTGTCTATATTTAACTTCCAACAGAATAATTCGAGTTTATTCGCTTACCGCTCTGTTGTCAACCTGTTTGCACAGGAATATGAAAAAAAACTGAGGCCGTAGAATGATTTTATAAGTGTACTCCATGGCCTATTGAAAATTTATGGTCACAGCTTCAGGCGTACGGTTTTGATCAGCCCTTGTTTCAGTCGGAAATCGTTTATCTATTGCGTGGATTTCACTCACTAGCTGCCCGAATTCCCCAGGAGCATTGGCGTTATTTATTATAATACACGTACACCACATGCCTTCGCTCCACTTTAAGTGACAAAAAATAGTAGCATTTGAACTGTCGCCTTTTATCTTGGAACTTGTCTACCCTCTGGTTCCCTGTCCGACCCACTGTTTGCCCTTTGTAGCTGCGAAATATGAGCGGACCTCAGGGTCCTTTTATAACAACTGGTAAAAAACGAGCATTTCAGAAGTTGAACTATTTATTCTCTGATTCTCAGCCTTATTCTTAGGCACCATTTGTAGTGTCTCAACTAGTTTTTTTTTCAAAATTAAGCCCCAACATCCTGCTGTTCTCATTAAGTCAGGGAGCTTGAGTGGTTTCCGGTTGTACCTTCCCGTTCACTCTAAATCTGGTCTATTTCTTGTACTCGTTCACGTTCGACTTAGACTCTAATGCACTTCTGTGTGCTTCCCACTTCAACTGATCGCGTTTCATTTTCTTCTGTTGAGACGCTCAGATTCCGTTCTTTACTGAGTAGTGAGCCAGTAGAAATAGCTGAATGCTATTTTTTGAATGACGAATCGATGCACTTTTTGTTTATACGGTCCTTCTTTTTCGTTATGATCCATTTTATAAGGTGTTTGATTATCTGAACCCAGATATCACACTAAAATGCGTATTGGTATTCCAGTCGTATGTGTATTTATCTACTTATTCTTCAATTAGATTTGTGTGAAGGAGTCGTGTGTCACCAGAATGCCCACTGTCGCAATGGTCAGTGTGTTTGTAACCCGGGTTATGAAGGTGATGGATACTGGCGGTGTAGTCATCCTCGCGGTGAGGCTGAACGAAAAACCATATAACCTTGCATGATACTGCATAGTCGTTACTAATATGGAACTGCCATTTTATTATATATCCATACATGTCTTGCCCGTTTTTGGGAGCCTGGTCGAACTGTAATTTTTAATCAGCTGATTTTTAACACGCTTGGCATCTGGGTGTCTGAATAGTTGCTATTCAGCTGACTGTAGAGTTCGTAATACCCTCTACATGGATCTGATAATTGCAGTTGTTCTATGAGGTAGGTCTATCGTCAAATCGTTCTCTAAACACACAAAAACACCACCGGAGGTTCTAGTTTCTAATTATCTATCTAAGTTGGATGGTCAAGCGAACTGAAGTTAATTAGCATCACCGGTGGCTGTGCCCCAAATTTATCCAGTACTGTTACATATCTGACAGTCTGCAGCACACAGTATTACTGCA